TTACAAACCCTCAAGTTCATGGCCCACAGCATGCTCAAATACCGAAGATTTTGAGGGCATGCAAATCGTGATTTGGCCGGCGCAGGCAATTTCGGACCGATTTACTGGTCTGCACCCTATAAAGAAGCAAGGTTTTGAAAAATTTCCCCAAACCACTTGAACGGCACGAGGATGGATGGATGACTCATATTTCATCAAAAAATTGCAAGAACAAAAATCTCTGACTGCGATTTCTGGCCTGAAAACAAGCCCTCTGTTTGCGGCTACCTTACTGCAGGGCGCCCCCAACGGGCGTTTATTGAGTTTTTGCTCCTTCCGACCCAAAATTACCGCCCCCCCCCCCCCCCTCTTGTTCGCTCGAAATTGCTGTGATCGGACGACGGTCCATCGGCCCTATTCAGATTTTGGGCGCATTTGTTGCGGAACCGCCATTGGTGACCCCTTTTGAAACGCTGCCCCCCCCCCCGGTTCCACCCCCCTGAAAAAAAAACACACTCCGCAAACACTTTGACAACAAACGATGGAAGGCGCCATTTTGAAACTATAAAGAAGCGAGGTTTTGAAAAATTTACCCAAACCACTTGTACGGCACGAGGAAGGATGGATGACTCATATTTCATCAAAAAAATTGCAAGAACCAAAATCTCTGACTGCGATTTCTGGCCTGAAAACAAGCCCTCTGTTTGCGGCTACCTTACTACAGGGCGCCCCCAACGGGCGTTAATTGAGTTTTTGCTCCTTCCGACCCCAAATTACCCCCCCCCCCCCCTTGTTCGCTCGAAATTGCTGTGATCGGACGACGGTCCATCTGCCCTATTCAGATTTTGGGCGCATTTGTTGCGGAACCGCCATTGGTGACCCCTTTTGAAAACGAGGGCATGCAAATCGTGATTTGGCCGGCGCAGGCAATTTCGGACCGATTTACTGGTCTGCACCCATAGCGCGCGAGGATATGCCGCCGATTGATTACCGCGTATACCGCGTATGCCGCGTACGGGACAAATAACGACGAGAGCCTTGACCAAGGCTACTACTGCTAGGATTTTTTTTTCAGTAGGGGGCCAGGGGCCAGGGGCCAGGGGCCAGGGGCCAGGGGCCAGGGGCATCGGCATTTCCCCAAAAATCCCTTTATTTTCCAGCATTTTCCCGATTGATCACTTTGTCTAGGGTGGGCAGGGACTTCCCCCCCCCCCCCCCCCCACCCAACCCATTAAATTAACAACAATATGATTTCGCGCCTTTTTTTCTTCCATTCCACAACCTTTTTTCCCCTTTTTTTTGCTCGTCCGGGGGGGGGGGGGAGCGCCCTCTCCCCTCCCCCCTCGCGACGCCCATGGCCAGCAGTTCTGTACTCTGGTGGCCTTTTGTGACGTAGCAGCGGTTTTTGGCCTCGTCTATATTATACGTATTTCAAGCGTCAACTTTTAAAGCCAGACTGTCAAAAAAAGACTGGGCCACATAAAAACCAATGTATTCAATTCACTGTGATATTCACCGTGACATTATCAGGTTCCACACTAGGTTCAGAATTATACACAAAGAAAACGCCTTTAAAGTACAGAACGTTTTGAAAGCTTCACTGCACTTCAGTGAGGCCTACGCTGCCACCCTAAAAATGTCCTCACGCACGTCCTCGACCTCACGCACTAACCCAAGCTGAAGATTCTAAGTACATTGTAGTAAACATATGTAGGCCATATCGCTCTAGTAGCTCATTCGATTAAACAAAGGAAGCCTAGCTTTAGGTTGGCATTCGCTTTACTAAACATGGTAGAACCGTATTTATTGAGCATTTGGCAGAGGACGAAGTCAGGTTTTGCGGTAATACTATTAAGAAAGAGAGTAAAAATTCTCTTTACAATACTGTTTGTTGCACTTCATTCAATCGGACATTACGTTGATAAGTTATGGCTGTTTAAAGTTTGCATTTATCGACATGTCAAAAAGGAAAAATACTAAGAAAAGGGTCTTTTCGACTGTATCGACTTTTCGAAGTTTCGACTGTATTGTAGTCGTGATAATGAAAGATGCCAATTGTTTTTCTTTAAAATAAAACATTTTATTCCACAATTTCCTTAAATATGTGTAATAGACATATCAAAGATTACAAATATCAATAAATCTGATAATGGAAAAAACAAAAATCACCCCCATTTTTTTTTTTTGTGCATTTTTCTCCACTACGGCTTGTGCCCAGTTCTGTCTCATAGCAGGGGAAGGCACACACTTTCAACCTTCCCCGGTTATCGACAACACGAACCAAAACATTTCCCATACGTATTTGAAGGCCTCGGCTTTAATTTATTTCTCAAAATAAATTTCGGTTAAAACACGAGGCATTATAAGAATACTATTATATAGTGACTCTTCATAAATTCGACATTATACTTTCTACTGAAATTTGGTAGTGAGTTCTATTATTGTGGTGCTCAGAAAGCGAGGTCGTGCAAACAATTAAAGTCCAACAAACAAGATGCAATCCACTAGATAGTAATTATTTCGCTAGTCATGGCAAACGTAAAATTGAAGGCATTCAGGTAATTTAAGATATTTTAATTATTTCCAGATATCGCAAAACATTTCTAAGATTTAAAAGCCTCGTAGTTATTATTTTGGGCTCTTAAGGCTACCAGTCCCTTAAGCAGCGGCGTAACTACGGTAAAACTTCAGGGGGCACCTACAATCCTGGCCACATCTCGCTGGGCCTCCAACCCCCCGCCCCCGTTCAATGTTGTCTGTCATGGCGCGGTGTGTGCTCCATCAGCTGGAGAGAACAACATTGACCGGGGGAGCGGGGGAGTGGGTGACGTGGCAGGCTCAGGAAGTGTCCCAACCATTTTGGCCGGGATTGTCTGAATGTACAGTTATAGCCTTGCTATTTGGACATTGCGCGTATTACGCGCTCAAATAATAATACCCACGCGCGCGCTGCATGGTTTCATATAATGCAACATGATCAATGCATATACACGATTCACCATGACGGTTCACCATGTCATTTTGGCCGATGATTTTTACAAAATCCAAATTGTGTTCAATGTGAAGCCGTATTAGGATGCACAAACAACGTGTTTTCTCCGCCACTCCATTAGTTGGACGAAAAATCCATCCAAACCATAGTGTAACCACGGTTCACCGCTGAAATTATATAAGAAGCAGAGAGAGTCACTCACTTCCTTTATTATATTGGTTTGGATGGATCACCGATGGATTTTTTTCAGCAGAATAACGGACTTAGTGAATACAAACCAATTAAAAAGGATTAAATTTTGTTTGCGTATCCTATAAGAGCCTTTCAAGTTCAACACAAACTGTATTTTGTACAGTATTGGCCAAAATGGCATGGTGAACCGTCATGGTGAACCGTTACGATGCACGCTACACTAAGTTGGGATTTTAAAGGATTGTTAAATGGCCTCTTAATTATTGTCGCTGGTACTTTCGGTGGTCTATTGGTAAAGACGTGCTCAATTCAACAAAGCAGGGATCGTGGTGGGTTCGAATATCACCGGAGATAAATACATGTAGATTATTTCCCTGCAGCACTCGGGAAGTAAAAAGTAGGCCCTATACCCTGATTACCATCCATACGTGTTAGGGAAAACACGACAAAATATATATGTATTTGTTATTTCGATTTTACTATCAATAATTATTATCTTGCCCAAATATGTGTTCCTTCATTCAACCTTCGGCCGCCATTTCACATTTTGGAAACAACACTCAAGAAAACACCCCTCAAACGGCATATCATGCACATTTGGAACTATGAAGAAATTCAGACAATCCTGGCCACATCTCGCTGGGCCTCCAACCCCCCGCCCCCGTTCAATGTTGTCTGTCATGGCGCGGTGTGTGCTCCATCAGCTGGAGAGAACAACATTGACCGGGGGAGCGGGGGAGTGGGTGACCGTGGCAGGCTCAGGAAGTGCCCCAACCATTTTGGCCGGGATTGTAGGGTGCATACGTTTTTCAAGGGTGGGAACACTGAAGGCAACTGTTGACGTGACACGGTTCAGTACCGTGTCACTTCAACAGTGCACTGTGCAGTATACAATGCTTCTGAAGGCACGGTTTAAAAACTTTTCTCCGGTGTTTAAACGATGGTGAAAGCCAGCCATGGCGATGCTCTTGACCAATTAAAAGGGGTAAACTGTCATAGCTGTAAATGAATGCTAATTGAAAAGTTAGAAAATGCCAAGGGCGGATCCAGAAGACCATTTTTTGTGGGGGGGGGGGGTTTAAAAAAAATTACGGCGTGTTTTTTTTTTTTTTTTTTGATTCTAGATACTCTGTGGTGCGATCTGAGGCAATTTCTGACCACTTTAACCAATGTTTTTTTTGAGGAAAAGATGGTGGTGTACTCATTGCCTGCCTTTATTGCGAAGTCACTAAAAACAACAACAATGGATTCAGTTTTTTTGGGGTGGGGGGGGGGGGTGGGGCATGGCCCCCTCCCCCCCCCCCTGGATCCGCCCTTGGAAAATGCGTGACTTCATTTGACAATATCAAGCTCTGAAGGAGCTTCCACATGTCAAAAAAATTGACAAAAATAAGGCCCCGAAAAATTGACAAAAATAAGTCCCCCATAAGTTTCTTACAAAATACAACTACCAAATTTTTATTTAAAAAAAAAAGGCAAATAAATACATCAAGTACTTAACAAAAACTGTTTGTAACAGTTGGGAAAGATGTTAATTAAAAGTTTGTAAATGGAGGCAAAATATGTGCAGTAATGTTATAGTCATGCGGTATTTATCACAAATCGCTAGAATTCTAGGAATACATCTAAAGTATGGTGTTCCATATGTGCCATCGGCGTCGCATTCGTGGGCGTCGCATTTTTCAGCTCTGGCAGGGATCATTTTGATAGATTTCATGCAAGACTTTCATGCAAGGCGGCCACAGCTTATTGTGCACTCGCACTTGTTTTGTTACGTAATGATATTTTGAATCAAACTACTCTGAGTAGGCCTATATAATATAGGCCTACTGTGTTTTTGAAACACCAATCTCATTAGGCGTATTATAACTACAAAATTAATGTAAAGATGGGTTTCAATTATCGATTCCTTTCGATATCGATTTCCAGTCCCGCTAGTTGTTGACTGATTAAATGTGATTAATAGCAGCCAATCACTTCAAACCTCATGCAGCACCAGGAGTGCCATGCAGTGGGGTGAATGCGCAGGATTCTGGTGCGCAATGCCAACGGGAACCGAGCGGTTACCAACGTGTTCCTGTCCGAGTTACCAGCAAACTGCAACAACAAAATCAAAATAGTCGACTTGTTTTAATACCGCATCCTGTCGTGCCATATTATTATAGGTTTTCCCGGTTATTTTAATACTTGTATCACACGAATTCCCCGCATCGATGCTTTAATTTCGTCCCCGAATATCGCCAAGCTCAATTCTCAATCTGAATTTCAAAAACCCACCACTAGATTTCATGTAAGATTCAGTGTAATTCAAATTTTTAGCATACCGATTCGTCCTATATTTGTGAAATTCGTCTAGTGTTGCAATCGGCGTTGAATTGAAAAATTAGATTCGTTTTAATGTTGTTGTCATTACATTTCGTTTCTGGTGACTTAAAACGTTACGATTAGAAAGTGCGCCCAATCTGTGGACTTATTTAAATATATAACAGTGCGCATTAATAAAAAGTATAATTTCAACATATATTTCCGTTATACGTATAAATAAAAGAAGTTAGCTGTAGGTTTTTAATCTTCTTTTCTTAATTAACATTAGAATCAGGAATTGACATTTTACAATTGTACTCTTGACTTATGACATGGAACTTAAGGATTAACACATTCGTAATACCGTTTGCTCTTTGATTTGCAGACCTAACTTATGTGGCTTTTTTCATATATACATGTATATCAAATGGCAACATTACGAAGGTGTTTGATCTTACATGTAATGCTTAATTTCCATGTCATAAGTTAAGAGCATAATGTGAAAGGTATATTCCTGATTCTTATGTTACACACGCAAAAGAATATTCGGAACTTACAGCTAACTACTTCTATTGATAGGAAATATATGTTGAAATTAGAATTATATAAATGCTCATAATTCTTCAATTAGTCTAAAGATTGGGCACATTTTCTAATCGTAGCGTTTTAAGTCACCAGAAAGGAAATGCAATGACAACAACATTAAAGCGAATGACAAAAAACGAATCTGCTTTTTCAATTCAACGCCGATTGCTACACGAGACGAATTTCACAAATTTAGGACGAATCGGTATGCTAAAAATTCGAATTATACTGAACCTTACATGGCATCTAGTGGTGGCTTTCTGAAATTCAAATTGAGAATTGAGCTTGGCGATGTTCGGGGACGAAATTAAAGTATCGATATAGGGAATTCGTGTGATATAAGTGTTAAAATAACCGGGGAAACCTATATTAGTATTAGTATTTGAGGACTATGTATATTTCCGAACTGCGAAAAAATGGGATTTTTCATCAATATAACTTTTTAATTAAACGATGTTCCACGGTTTAACTCAGATTTATCAAGGACACAATTAAGCTTCACCTCCTAAATTTCGATTGGTCTGAGAGATTTTAACCGGGATAGCCTTAGCCGGGTTTTCCAAACATCGGCTTTCTCCCCGGCTTCGGTTCCATCTCTTGCTCCTGAATCAGTTTGAAACATGACATTAAATTGTCGAATTCCAAAGTGTATATTTCGCGTCATATTATGGGACTTAATATACCTGAAGTATAGGCTATGTTGAGCCGACGTCGTTCAAAGGCCAAATCTTTTGAAACTAAAACCTGAAACTAATCATTTGAAATCCTCAAAACTATTGAACAATTAACTTATTCTCTTTGGCACGCACATAAAAAGAGAATTACTATCTCATTGCAAGTGTGAGCTTTACAGGTGCATTTGGTATGCAAAGTAGTTTTCACAGCATTAGAATGCTGGTTTGGTGCAATTCGCATGTCACCACGCCACACACCTTGGATTTCTTTCATAACAGGTAATGTTTGACCTTTTGTTTTTATTATCTTTACAAGAAATATCCAAGAATAAAATATCCTGAAGCTCTTTATATCTATTGAGATAGTGCTCGATCGCCTTCGGTGTCAGATAGGAATTTCCCAGAGTTTTGTCTCAAGGCGAATTTACATGCATGTATAGGTTCTCCCAGCCATTTTAAAACGTTTATCATTCGAATTCACAGTTTCTAATATTCAAATTCGGTCATCAACATCGATTTAGTGCTCTTCCAATGTGTAATGTCGTCTTTGGTCAGACAATTTCAAATTTAGTTCAAGCCAATTTCAGAAATCAAATTCGTCTAATTGATTTATATAAGACGAATTCGATTTCTGAATGCTGCCATTCGGCAAAAACGTGGATGAATTTGATCTGCAATGACGAATATTATCGACCCAGTGACTAAAGAGGGTGACCAAACTTTAAAATTGAATGGTAAATGTCTAAATTGATTTTGTTAAAAGCGTGTAAAATTTGTCGTGGATGAAATTGAACGTGAGGGTTGGTGATTTTGAATGAACAGTCTTTTAAAATAGCCGGGAAAACCTACATTAATTTTAAGCCAGGATGGCCAAGAGGTACTTATATGACCAATACAACCATAATATTTGGAAATTGTCCTTGTATACTTTGTGTTTTTAAATGTTATAATTGTACATGTATTTACCAAATCTGGAGAACTGTTGTAACGAGACGTTTACAAAAGAGTGCGGGTAACTGTAACACTTTCAAGATTAATACAGTTGTTGAGTTAATATAAATATTATGATTATAATTGTTTATTTGTGTATGATTAAGCTGGTTTGTCGTGGTTGAGATGAGATCCTACCTTTACTGGTGTGCCAAATGCATCGGTCACGTGATCCCAGGACTGAGCGTCATCACTGTACGTCACTTGGTACTCTGTCACCCATATGTTGTGTTGGTCGCCATGCCCCTGGGTGATCAAACCAGTGATGGTGACTGTACCATTGAAGTCAACCTGTATCCATGGACTGTCTTCATGTCTGTCATAGCACCAGGCTGCAGCTGATCATATTCAACAACAAAACGTGTTTTTTTTATAAAGGGCAGTAAGTCTGGCTCGAATCTGAAGTTGTTTAACCACACCTTCCAACCATAGTTATTTAGACCAGTGTCACGGTTGCTTTAAAACATAAACGCTATTTTTGCCAACCCCCCCCCCCTTGATTTTGGGTTATACCATGTTTACACAATCATTTATTTCATTGACGTAGATCATTCAACTATATCTACTTCTGTTGTTATTTTAATTTGACAAAGCGCCCTCTAGGTTTTTATTTTGAATTTCGCGCGCTTCGAGCGTCATTCTGTTCTTGGATGAAGATCATCACTATATGTACTTATTTTTCGTCTCTTCTCCAATTCACAGGTATGACAAATTTATTTAGTTTTCTCCTCTAAAAGTTTACTTGTAATCGTATTTGATAATAACAAGTTTAGCTATAATTTCCTTTCATATATTCTGTGTTTTTTTGTGTTTTTTTGTTTAATTTATTTCGAAACTGATAATGTTATAAAATTAACTTCAATCGGACTCCCGTACTTTGCGATGAAAGTCACATTTTGATACAATTATCAGATCGATCAACATTTATAAGCACCCTTTACGATCTTTATTTCCAGTTTCCACATTCTATTCCATTTGCATTTTAATTAAATCCAATCGACATTATTTCGTTTCAAAGATGGTGGACGCCATCAAGGATTTAGCGAGGATCACTGAGATAATTTGGACTTTAACTACATGTGTTTAGTTACTTGCTACTTTTTTCTTTATTTAATTATAATTATTGTTTAGGTTTAGAATTAGTATTTAACTTAGTCATTCTGTTCTTGGATGAAGATCACTTTGTACTTATTTTCCCTCTCTTTTCCAAGTCACAGATTCCGCAATAAAACAGCAAAACCTAAGAGGTAGTTTCCCCGTCCCATTTTTCGTGGCCTAAATTCTAACAGGGTCACACTAGTGTTAATCGAAGTCGACTATTCGGGATAATACAACGCCTGAAAAAAAATCCCCGTCATCTGAATGGTTGGTCGTTGATAACATGTCATTGAATTATTCGTCCCAACCCATGGCCCGTCCCAACGCATGGCCCAACCTGCGTTCCACTTCATGGAATTATATACCTGCATTCCACTTCAGTGGGCACGCCAAGCTTGCTCTGGGATCCTAGCTACTTGGCATCCACACCGGATGCAACTTCACACTTCACCGATTTCGCTTTTGCTACTTCGGTAAGTGTTTACTTTCTTAGAGTTTAGGCACTCTCCTGAAGACGGTCAGAGCATACTGACCGGAACGTCGAGTTTATGCCTCTGGTTCTTTTCAGAACCATTCTCTTAGTTGAGAAATTATTCATCCATACGATGTTGTTTGGGAAAAAGTAATTCGCAGCCCGGCCGTACCACAACTAGTATATGTATTAATAGATAGAGCCATGGTCTATAATTTTTGAGCAGATTCGCTGATTAATTATGCAAGACAACCGCATCTTGACCTCTAGATTTTGACCAATCAGCAGGCGCTTTCTATATCGTGTCTTCGGTCATTCATCCGTTGTCGCGTCATAAAAAACCTGAACACAGCAACAAAGGCTGTGGTCACGTGCTCTGTATTACGCGATACGCGCCCGGCTGTTGTTGTATTACAAAACACTGCATTGGGATTTACCAATCACACATTTAGTCCTGATTTGGGAATGAAATGACGTCACCTCGCAAAATCGAGGGAGGGCCGATAGTTTTTAGGTGTACATTCGATTCTTAAAGAAGGCCGACAGAAACGGCAACAGTAGATAGAGGAAAGTATACGCTTCATTTTCATGTGAAACACGTGCAGGAGACTTCTAATGTTGGTCCAAAACGCCGGTTGAAAAATAAAGACTTTTGCGAGATTTCATGATTTGCAATCACATGTGCGCGTGTAAACGAACTTGTCAAACGTTGCAAAATTCAATGTTTTACAATATATATGTTCGATGTTCAAGTTGTGTGTTATCTTTTACATTTATGTGTGATGTTCAGTATTATGTGTGCGATGTTCAATATATGTGTGCGATGTTTTACAATATTGTGTGTGATGTTCAATATATATGTGCGATGTTTTACATTTATGTGCGATTTTCAATCTTTACTCTCAGACAACTCACATGAAAAACAAAATTGGACTTTGTTGTGATTCTGGTACAGCTTAACAACTGCTTTATTACAAATCGACGATAAACGTAAGGCCAACGGCCCTTAAACTTAGCAGTTTGTAGAAGTCAACATTGCGAATTCTGAGATGGAAAACAATGGTTACCCAGTACATATACCCAATCATTTATCTCCCCATGTCCCCCGCCAACTTGGCACGCTTGCCACACATAGATTTGGACACGCTTGTCCTGAAAACTTGGCACGCTTGCCACACATAACCTTAAACTTGGCACGCTTGCCACACATAGATTTGGACACGCTTGTCCTGAAAACTTGGCACGCTTGCCACACATAACATTAAACTTGGCACGCTTGCCACACACATTTGGGCACATTCGCCCTTAAACCAATTGTCAGAATGATTGAAAATGTATTAAGTATTTATAGTTCTAATTTGAATATAACCTTAATCTATATTTCCACCGTTTGTACGAACGTTTGGAGTAATGCAGTAGTAAACCCCCTTCATTAATTTGCATAGGACTTAGTAATCTCACAAATATTAAGTTTGACTATACCTTAACAAGCAATGTTTCCACCGTTAGGACGTACGGTTGGAGAGCTAGCCCCCTTGGGACATGGGGGTGCTAGCCTAGTATTTATACAGAAATAAGGAATTGTTTATCAATGACTGATTTTCATGAGATTGAGGTGGTGGCAGCCCGCATCCCGATCGAAATATGCCACCCACTGCTTTTGAAAGCATCTCCGCAGTTCCCATAGTCATCCCGTCTATGTTTGTTAACCCTGTAACTAAAAACCACCTGTACTAACCATCTGTTGGTAAGTGAACACTATCATCTTTTTAAGTCTGGTTCTCACAGACATTACGAAATTTACTCTGGGTACCCAATTCCCCTGTTTACACTTGTATGTTTCTTTAATTAACGAAATGTCCAGTCAGACCGTTCCCACAGACAACCAGTCTCCTGTTGCTAGTCTTGAAACTTGAAGCTATGTGTGGCCACTACATATGTCTACCATTATAAACTAATGTTGACTCTGTGGTCAGCTGAACCAAAGTGAAGACTTGCCGCCCAAAGTCCTGCACCAGGAATCTTAGCTATGCCCCCCTGCTGTCCATTGGTCAGCAGATGCTGTCCGTTGGTCAGCCGATTGGAATGGAGTACCTAGATCATATGCAAATCCAGGACCCCAGAGGCCTTTGGGCAGAAGCCCATCTGTGTGGTCACTGAGAATAATGCATTTTATTCTGTATGCAATAAAATGAAATATGTGCGATGTTTTACAATATATGTGCAATGTTTTCGATATAATTATGTGTGATGTTTTACAATATATTTGTGATATTTTCAAATATGTGAGCGATGTTTTACAAATTTATGTTTGATATTTCGAGCAATATATATATTTGATGTTTAATTATTTCTGTATTTTGATATTTCATCTTATATGTATTCGATCTTTTGCAATATGCATTTGATGTTTCACTTCACATTCGATGTTTCGTTAACAGTCGCAGTCTAGTTACAAGACCGCGAAAGTCTGACTATTTTGCCTAAAGTCAGTGTATGAGACGTCAGGGGATCGCGTAGTGATTAGAGCCAGACCTAAACGGTAAATATTGGAATTGTGGTATAATCTCAGGGCAATGCGCAAAGCAGTCGTCATAGTTTGGGCAGTACCGCCAGCTGCATGTGTTTGCATTTTGTACATGGTATGTTCGTGTACATGTACATGTATCATCCATAATGCCCACATGCCTCGACGATGCCAAAAACCAGCCTTTTACACATAAGTGATGGCATGGCGCTATAAAAACCAACCGGCGCAGTACGTGCCGGTTGCAGTTTCATGGTTATTCTCGAATAAACACAGCCCACCGAGTGTTGTATAAACAAGATAAGCAGAGTTACAGAATTCGTTGGCTTTAATAAGTGGCACACGCGAGGGCTTCCTTGCTCTATGATGAGAGACTGAGGTAATTTTTTGGCAAAAGATGTTTTCTTTTTAAAACTTCACGGATTAATATTCAGTGCAAGGAGTGAAGTATACATATTTAGACTTCTTTTCAAGTTAAACTCTCAGTCATTTTAGTACAAAAGGGCAAAACGTCAAAATGTCGAATATCTGAGTGTTGTAAATTTGAGCCGGGAGGATTACAGTTGCGCTGAGAGGGATTCCTTTAGGCCTACGGCCGACAAAGAAAAGAAAAACATTAGGCTTATGTCTGCAAAATTTAACTAAATCGATAGATGGGTTAAGCATAGAGAAAGGACATCCAAACTTCAATTATAAGCGCCCCGAATTGCGAATAATTCGGTATCAAAACAGTCTCAGCCCAACTCATTTCACATCGAGCCTACATCCAGGTACTTGAACACCCATTTTTCATCCGTCGCAGATAGAACAGATTTCCGGCTTTGGAATGAATTTGGTCCGTCATTTAATGACAGCAAAGTTGTTTTTAAATCATTTTACGAAAGGGGGAAGGAAAAAGAATGTATAAGTGCCTTGAGAAAATCGGTGCATTGGTAAACCCAGCCCGATTAATTTTATGATGAGACGGAGATTCGGCTTTTTTCAACATTCACTGCCATTTGGGGTGAAACGAAAACCAGTAATTCAGTCAGACGATTTTGTTCCATCGCTAATTTCAGAAATGTCCAGATTCGATAGATGGGTTAAGGCACAGCATCTAAAGTTTAATTTATTAGCGCCCCGAATAATTCGGGGTATCGAAACAGTCTCAGCCCAACTTATTTCATATTGAGGTTAAAATACAACATTTTTTTACATACATCGTTCATCAGAATTACGGATTTCCAGCTTTGAAATGAATGTGTTCCATCTTTAATGAGACAATTTCGGGTTTTTTTTGTGTTAAATCATCTTACAAAAGGGGAATGAAATAGAATCCTGCCCCGAAAAAAATCGACGCACTGGCAAGCCCTTTTGAAATTCCTGCAAATCCACAGTGCAATCGGGTCGGGAAGGGCCACGTTCTGAGGCCGAGGGCCAAGAGATGAGAGTGCCCGGCCGGTTGTGACAGGCGCGGTTCGCTGATCAGAGTGCACGTACGTGCCGTTCGTTGCGCCCCGCACACCGCCGAGGTCTGATGAGGCAGCCTCGGCCGATAACGGGTTCAGCTATTGTTTTGGACGGGAAAATATTGCAAAAATAGCAAACGGACTGGAGTTTGTACCCGAACACAGTGCTCGCCCAAAACGCACCTATTTTGCCGATAAGCGCAGAGCCCATTGCTATATGATGTAAGCAATCATAATGATGAAATTTTTCAGACATATTAACTTTTTTGTGCGGGTTGTAGTCGGTATCGGCCGTATTATATCATGGTCTTATAATCCCTCTCAGTGCCGCTCCCGGCTCGAATTTCGACACTCGATCGGATATTTGACATTTTGTACTATAAAAAAAGAGTGCAACTTGAGAATAAGTCTAAATTGGTACTTTACTAAACTTGCACTGAATATTAATATTGTCAAGTTTTAGAAAAATATCTATCTTCGGCCCAAATGTCACACAACTTCCATCGTGTGCCACATAAGCCAATGAATTACGTAACTCTGTTTGTCGCCTATCAGCTTATGCTAACAAATTATCATGTAACTGGATCATTAAACGGGACAGGTGGACATCGGCCTTGGAGCTCAGACCATGTGTCATGCACTCCTCAATGCATAGATGATGCACATAACACTATGGGTAGTACAGGCACAGCTGGGGGTACTGCCCAAACAATGATGAATGCATTGCGAATGCTTAAAGAATTACCCACAATTCCGGTTTTTACCGTTTAGGTCTGGCTCTAATCACTTACGCGATCCCCTGACGTCTCATACACTGACTTTAGGCAAAATAGTCAGACTTTCGCGGTCTAGTAACCAGACTGTGACTCTTAACGAAACATCGAATGAAAAGTGAAACATCAAATGCATATTGCAAAAGATCGAATGCAATCATACCGATGAAACATCGAATGCAAATAGCTCGAAATGTCGAACATAATTATTTGTAAAACATTGTATCGAAAAACATCAAACATATTTGTAAAACATTGCTCACATATTTGAGAATATCGCAAATACATTGTAAAACTTCACACACAATTGTATCGAAAAACATCACACATTTACACATTTAATGCAAAACATCGAACATAATATTGAAAACATCGCACATATATATCGTCAAAAATCGCACATATCAATTGAAAATCGTATATAAATGTAATTACATCGCACACATAGGCCCTATATTGAACATCGCACATATATTGTAAAACATCGCACACATATATTAAACATCACGCACATAATGAAAAACATCGCACACTTATATTGAACATCGCTCATAATGTAAAAGATAACAAACACATATTGAACATCCAAAATATATATTGTAAAACATTGAATATTGCAACGCTTGACACGCCATAGACGTACGTTGTCCCGAAAACATTGTGAATAGCACCTGCTAACGTGCAATGAATGACTTATGAATATTAAGCAGGCCATACTGGAGCTCGACCAATCAGTGGGCGTATGGGTCACAAGGTCACACCGTGTGTGGGTTCCTCGCTTTATGCTTTACAATGGCGACGATCTCTTCGCGTTGTGAAAAATGGAAGTTATTGGAAACATTAAGTGTACATCGAATTCTTAAAATATTAACGACATCACGTTCACGAGATTTTTTTGTAGATGAAGGTTCACTCTTTCCTTTGATTACCTGAACATTTGGGAGACTTTCGTCGTTCTCAGAAAACAGGAAATTTCATGACCTTATTTTTAGTCGATTTGTCCGTGAAATAAAATCGTCAAAATGCATCGAAATCCTTTTTCTTTTTGAGAAAAAAAATACCTTGATGGATGTATGAAGTAGGTCTTTAACTACCTAAAACAACTGTGTTTGTTTGGATCGGTTGTGGTTTGCCATGAAAATTGCGAATATTCTAAAGCCTCGCGTTGCTGTCAGTTGTGTGGACGAGAAAATAGAGCAGCTACGCGTGACACGGCAACTGACTGAGATTTCCCCTGACCACAGTTCCACTCGGCTCCGCCTCGTGGAATGAAACATTCCATCTGTCACCTCATGACGTACATTTTTTCGAGGTGAAACTCGAAAATAACACGGGAAACATTATCTGTAATCTCACTATATCCAAAAAGCCTATACCTTCAGTATAGAGTAAATGGTGCAATTGAAACACAAACCCCGTGGCCTACAAATGAAACGGCTGTACACAATTTAACCTGATTAAAGTTACATATGCCGACCGTGCTCTTCAAAAAATGTTATATTTTTCTCCTGACGAATTTTCAATGTTTTGTGTTTAACGGAAGAAACACCTTTTTTTCGATTTTGAGCGTCTGCAACCCTCTGAAAAATGCTTTTCATTTTGTGCAAAAAAAATAGACCCACCCTGTAAGAGCCGAATGTAATTGTCTGGAAGCTAGTCATTCGAATGTTGTGAAGAAATAATTTAATAATCAAACGTCAGTGGGTTTTTGCGTTCAATGTCTCATTCAAAAGTGAATAACTTTGATACTGCTATAGGAAAAAATGAAACAAAGAAAAAAACAAATATATTTTTCTAGGTGAAACTCGAAAATAACACGGGAAACATATCTTTAATCTCACTAAATCCAAAATGCCTACCTAAAGTATGAAGTCTGGCCCTGGTCGAGTAAGTAGAATGCCTTCGCCAAAAAGACGAAGCTGTGAGGCTTTCATCCGGGATGCGACCATCTTCCATCCCGAGAGGTCCCCCCACGGAGCAAGGAGAGTCACCTGAGGAAAAGGTGCGATCGTTTAGAGAAGTTTCATATATTAAAATCCACTTAAAGCCAGAGTAAATCATTTGTCATTTGTGCATTTTTTTCGTTTGAAGCAACAAAAGTGCTCAAAATCGAAAGAAGTTTGCTTGACAACTAACCTGATGAAGTTTTTGCTCAGTGAATGCTGTATATTCCGAGAAAACAATATTCTAGGATCGCGATTTCAATTGCAATTAGTTGCCGAGTCATGATTTGAATTGCGCCCGAAATCAGCGTCGGGCCACGTTCTCATTCAGTCAATAACCCTCTGTACTAATAATTATATCGATCGCTATAGAAAACATGTAGTGTTGTGTATTTTGGGTCTGATTTATTTTAATTTGCGCCACTAAAGCTATCGAAAATACACTCTGTACTTGTCACAAGCATCTTGGGAAACAAAGATACACATGCTTATTAACTATACAGCATATGCTTCAACAGCTTACAAGGATTTCAATAATTGTAGAAACAAAAATCCCCTAAAGTTTTGCTTTTTGTATTAGCTTTGAAATGAAACAAAAACACAATCTCACCATTTCTTTTGAAGTATTTCAACTTCTCTTCGTTGACTGAAACGATCGAGTCATCGCTCAATTCACACCGTCTGGTATCTTTGGTATAACCGAAGTATTTGCAGTCTTCTTCCTTAAGGCAGGCCGCGGCACACCTCAGGTAGGAGGCTCGTTGGCTTGACCGAATCACTCGATATTTGACGGTGCTGTTGAACTGTGAAGCAGCCGTGAAATCCGAAGATTTCACGGTAGGGAGATTAGAGCCAGCTCCGCTCTGAACCATGTAGACAACAAAAAGAGCGAGGCACCAAACAAGACGACAATGTCTTGGGTGATAAATAGGAAAATTCATGCCGTTTTGTTTTGGTTTGTTGAGCTATAAACGCTTACAACATAGCGTACTTCGAAACAGTTTCAGAGTGTGTTGCAAACAGCGAACGACGATCGTACAGATCGTTCTAATCTGACAATAAAGGCACGACTAGATTTATTGATCAACAAGTCACAATCGACAATAAACGAATGACATATGGGCCAGAATTTGATCAATGTAAATGTGCACAAGATTGAGAAAGAAATAATTATAGTAATAATAATTATATTAGCTGCGTTGGTAAGATTTCTCACGTACGTAATGACCTTTTTACTATATCTCATACATATTCGCAATCGAGAGCCGAATTCTAACTGGCCCAGTCACGTGCCAGATGTTATTCAACAGGGTAAATACGCATGGGTTACCCGTGCGACAGTATACGCGTGCGCTTTACGAAGCAATCGTGGTACTAGTCTGGTTCCCTGACCCCATTGTCCTTCGGACTTCAAAAATGGGGTCCGGTCCGCGATATTTTTTTTTACACAACTATCTGGGGTACTTTGTGCGCTTTCATATGGGGCTTGGTTTTTATAACCAGGCTTGAGTGGAGGCTACTATTTTTCAACTTGGTACGGATTTCGGACTTTATTTCCCTTTTTAAAAAAATCCTCCAGAGCCTCAGATCAGGAAAAGAAAAAGGAAATTGCTGCTATACAAGTAGTATCCGACTGAAAAATAACGTTTTTAAGATACAACTTTAAATTGTTGAAAAAAAAGAGCAAAATCTTTGTGGGCAGAGCGAGGAATCGAACTCGAGACCTCCGATCATTTGCCAGCATGCCTAACCACTAGGCAACGGCGTTGCTCGAAAAAACACTGCAATTCATAAATTATATACTTTCACACATGTGGAGAGCGTATACGCGCGCGCGCGTATGTAAAAGGTTACAGGCACTGATCTCTATATAAAGACTGGATAGCGGATATGCATACAACATTCACACAGTAGACTTTGCATATTGACCAATTCGCCCCCGGTCTCACGAAGATGGCCGCGTATATACAAACGTTCTACGCGTAAATACGCGCGCGTTGTATCAACAGTTGACGCGCATTTTGGTCACGTACACATATTATGATGTTCTAAAAGGGACACATTTCCGTAGTGATTATTATTTCAAAACGCCTAAAAAGTTATATTTGCGGCATTTTAGTAACCACGACGTTAGAAAAATTGTAGTTAACCTTGGTCAGTGATGGTGGTCAAAATATAAGTCAAGTGAACCGCGACGTTACAAAAGAAATCATGCTGTCTATAAAAACGACAACTTGTCCTTTGTAGATCACCAGCCGGTCTCACCAATATGGCGTCAAATTCGTACATTGTGCGGCTCTGTATTAGCTATCCAGTCTTTATATAGAGATCAGTGGTTACAGGATTGTAGAGCGGCGCTACGCGGCGCTCTACAATCCTATAACCGTGATTCAAGTCGCCTGAAAAATGGGTACCCTGTACTATTGTGTAAATAAAATATTCGCGTCCGGTCCGGTAGCTAGCGGTGAATGTTCCATACACGGAACTCCGTGTATTGTAGGCAAATTATATGCATGACGTGTATAGGTCTGAATCCCGCCTCCTGAATTCAAAAATCACAACGGTAATGTTTGCCCGCAACCAGCCTATTGCAAAATGGCAATACCCTGGCCACGAAATTGCAATTTTGGAGGTATAAATGAACTTCTATTTTTTTGCCGAATTTGAAACTATTTCTGGCAAATATCAATAAAGAGAGAGATATTGCTGTTCAATATTTACAACCTATGCAGTTGAAAATTGAAAGATGCTTTCATGGAGACATTTTGTGTACATTTTCTGTGGTAAAAGACCCGTTTCTTGATAATCGTGCATGTGTTCAGTGACCGGCGTCCATGCACAAAGTAGAACAGCGATTCAAAAATAAACAATCAAGATGCATTTTATGGGCGCGCGCAAAGGTGATCCAATCAAGGGTTTTAAATTGGGCCCCCATATTTTTTAGTCTATGTAATAGACCATGGCGAAAGTCATGGTCTATGTAGACTTGATGCCAAGTCGTGAGACTTTCGTATTTTGTCCGTGAACTTCAGTCGAACTGAATCGGCGCGGCTGGTATAAGACTAGTACGTAATCGGCCGGGTTGCGACATATCTTGACGATTATGTTCTCGCATCGTTATTCATATTGTTAAGAATTCGTAAATTGTTTAAGGTTTAAGCAAATTAACTTCATGTAAATTAGGCCAATGGCCCGCGATCGTCCTGCATAGTCCCCTTTTGTTGCAGCGAACTTTTGTTCCCGCTCTGGGACTTCGCGCTGGAGTCCAACCCACATTCCTTACCAGTGAAATGGACATTGGAATTCCCTGCCGGACTTAAAAGCTCTGGAATTTCGCCGTTCTGGAGATTCTGAACTGCAGTTTGCTGAGGTGTGGTCAAGGGACTCGCTCTCCGGCGATGAGATGCTGTCCGACCGTCTGGCTTGCTGAGGCCGCTGACTTGGCCGTGCCTTGCCCGTTGCCGTCTGCACGGGGCACGGTCCCTACCACCACGACTGCCAGATTGACCGCTGACTTGGCTCTCCTTGGCTTGGGCCAGTGTCTTGGTGCCGTTCCCGCCGGTGCCACGCCCCTCTGCTATGGCACTTCGTCGACTGGTCAGCTAGCACAATCGTTCCCCTGATCCGGTCTACACCCGTACCGTCCATCACACCAAGCGCCCGGTTTCGGAGGTCGCCGATCAAGACGCAAGTCGTTAGGACAAGAACTCTCTCTCGCGACTTCCGAACTTTTCCGGCAGACTGCAGTCCAGGGTTCCACCCTCTGGAGGTACCTCCCCTCTCACCAATGGCCAACCGTATGATATGATTAACTTGATTTGTAATGTATAATTAATTGCTTTCCCATCTGCTTATTTAATCTTGTTTATGTGTGTTAATTTGTGGATTGTAAATAATTAAAATAATTCCAATTTCATTTCCAAAAACTCCTTGATTCCGATCCTCATTCTTTTGAGTGTTCCTTTCCCTTTATTTAAATTTTTGTCTATTATGTTGTCTGCTTGGATTTGAAGTGACTTCGTAACAATATAAGCAGCGCAATACATATGCAGTGCATTTTTGCGTTGAGATCCAATCGCGCACCGCTGTGCAAATGAGGACTCATTTATTCCGTTAAATGGGGAGTTCTTCTCAATATGTCAGGGACATTATTGCAGATCTGGCGACGTTTTAAAGACCAATTCACTCAGCTTGGTCAATAATGTATAAAAATAAAATGTATCATTGTGATATACTTGATTTATTTGAGTCGTGTATTCCTAGTAATGAATTTTGTAATGTTACACAACACAAAGAACGAACCCTCGAAGTAATGAGAATGATCTTCCGTGGCGGCCTAGAATACGGTCTGGAATCTGAACCAATCAGAGTGCTCGCATTTAGAATTCGCTAGCGATTCAAAATATTACCATATGTTTGTGTACAAAATTGAAAACGTATTCGCCAAGTCGGTAATTGAACATCAGTAGTCAGTATCATTTGGTCTGGGAACCAGTCTACGCGCATTGCAGCGATATACGGCGTGCGTGGAGCCAGTAACCGGTACCGTACGCAAAACAATTACCGACTTGGCACCAAGTCTGTGGTCTATAATGTGAGCAGATTCGCTGATTAATTATGCAAGACTAATTGACCAATCAGCGGGCGCTTTCTATATCGGGTCTTCGGTCATAGACCCGTTGCACGTCGTAGACATGGATAAAAAAAACTGTGTCACGCGCTCTGTATCATGTTACACGATATGCGCCCGGCTGTTGTTGTATTACAAAATACTGCATTGTCACGATTTAGTAAAGTGGACTCCGATTGGCTGGTGCGCGGCTTGCATAATTATATCTGCATGCTTAGACATATCAGACGTTATACAGGAGACTTGGCTCCGTGGATAACGGGTGATACTCAGACTACATATTTTTAGGGCGGGGGGAATCTATCGTGGAACTTTCGCACGGGTCTAGTGCGCACGCGCGAACATCGCCCTAGCTATACATGAAAAGATGGCGGCACACGCGTAGTAAATGTTAATTAACGTTTTCCCGAGCTCAATGATGACGATCTGGAGAATATTGTGGACAATAAAGATGCCTTCTCTACTAAAAGAAATTGTCCACATTGCGGTATAAACTCAGCTTAGGAGTTACTGTTTTGCAAAATAACTGAATTTTTCTGAGGTTGAGCAATATTCTTCTGGTGAACTGGACATATAAACCTAACCCCAAAAGGCCTTTAAACATGTTTCCCAGAGAGGCGGGGGGGGGGGGGGCCTAGTGTGGACGTGTGCAAGTCCACGCAAAGCGTTCACGCTCCCTTCCACCTTGTTGAGATCTTTTGTTCACAGGTCCACAAAGAATATGTAAGGTTATAGAGCATAAGTGTGTAAACACCTTCAATCGTGGACCCCCTACACTCTAAAAAAAATATATAATAATAACAGTCAGATTTGACTAGAAACCTGTTAAGTTCGACAAGCTATTTAGGGTCAGCTGGGTGCAACTGAAAATCAGTCAATCTGACTAGATTTTTCCAGTCAGTATTATTGACTACATAATACAGGGAAAACATCGGCAGTCAAATCCAACCATACTTGTCTAGTCATAGTATGAAACTTTGCATGTTTAAAGGGAATGTACATTATTGGCTTTTGCTGTTATTTTCAGAAATGAACTATTTGAGGGGTCAGTATAATAGATCAAATATTGTTACACTATTATGTTTGAAGTTTTGTGTTCGAAAATGCTGGAAAACCAAGAAAACAAAAATATTCAAGCATTCTGGTTCCCTGACCCCACTGAAGATGAAATAGATCAATATTTATAGATGCCGGATAATTGTAAGGTGAGGGAACCAGTCTAGCCTGCCTGCACCCGTTAATGAACATGTAACCATTAGCAAAAAAACTTTGGACAGAAAAAAATGGTAAATTTGGATCAGTAGTTGAGCAATAGTTAGTTTCCAAAATAGAAAAATAGTAGTTTCCAACGGTGGTCGGCCGACCACCGTTGGAAATGTATACAAAATTACTATTTTTTTGAAAATGACTTCACACCAGGTGCCATAATTTTACAGTATGCTTTATACTGTCATTTACCAACATCCTAGTGAAGTATTTCGTAAAAACTTGGTAGTTTTATTTTTCGATGTTTGCAAATGTTGTATATTCCCTTCAACTAAATTCCTGGTCAATTTTCAATAACTAGGAAAACCAGTCAATATTTTGACTAAGTTGTCCCCCTTTTTTCCCCTCTTTTGTGGAACCTATTGTCCTCTATTGAATGCAAAAACAAACCCCTTACACATAATTATATTTTTTTGGGGAAGACCTCAGTGTTTTCCTTCTTTCGTTTTTCTTTGTTCCTATATTGAAATCTCAAACTCCATAGCGTTCCCTTATGG